CTCTGTCTTTTTATTTACATCTTCAGTTTTTTTTTAAAATATTTATATCTTCAGTGTCTGTCTTTCTATTCACATCTTCAAAATCTGTCTATCTATTTACATCTTCAATTTTTTTATATTTACATCTTCAATGTCTGTCTTTCTAGTTACTTCTTCAGTGTCTGTATTTCTGCTTACGTCTTCAGTGTATGTCTTTCTATTCACATCTTCACTGTCTGTCTTTTTATTTACATCTTTAGTTTTTTTTTTATATTTACATCTTCAGTGTCTGTCTTTCTATTCACATCTTCACTGTCTGTCTTTTTATTTACATCTTTAGTTTTTTTTAATATTTACATCTTCAGTGTTTGTCTTTCTATTCACATCTTCAATATCTGTCTATCTATTTACATCTTCAATTTTTTTATTTACATCTTCAATGTCTGTCTTTCTATTCACATCTTCAGTGTCTGTCTTTCTATGTACATCTTCAATGTCTGTCTTTCTATTTACATCTTCAATATCTGTCTTTCTATTTACATCTTCAATTTCTGTCTTTCTATTTACATCTTCAATATCTGTCTTTCTATTTTCATCCTCAGTGTCTGGTCTTTCTATATTCACATTTTCAATGTCTGACTATGTGTTTACATCTTCAATGTCTGTCTTTCTATTCACATTTTCAATGTCTGTCTTTCTAGTTACTTCTTCAGTGTCTGTCTTTCTGCTTACGTCTTCAGTGTATGTCTTTCTATTCACATCTTCACTGTCTGTCTTTTTATTTACATCTTCAGTTTTTTTTAAATATTTACATCTTCAGTGTCTGTCTTTCTATTCGCATCTTCAAAATCTGTCTATCTATTTACATCTTCAATTTTTTTATATTTACATCTTCAATGTCTGTCTTCTATTTACATCTTCAATGTCTGTCTTTCTATTCACATCTTCAGTGTCTGTCTTTCTATGTACATCTTCAATGTCTGTCTTTCTATTTACATCTTCAATATCTGTCTTTCTATTTACATCTTCAATGTCTGTCTTTGTATTTACACAGTTGCAAATCCTTACCAACCTAGAAAGTGCGGATGGTGGCCTGATATCAGACACATCCAACGACAGACCACTCCAGACAGGCGACACTGAGATACAACGGAACTTTGCCTGTAGCCACGCAGACTTAACTCTTGGCTAAACGGTGAACGTTTTAGCCCAAGGCTACTGTACTGTACATTTGGCTAGAGGTGACAGGTACTTTATAGCTAGTGACAACATTTACGAAACATGTTTAATGACAAGCGCTTGACATGACTGATCAAAGCTACTTTTATAGCTAGTGGTGCATGTACTCATTATTACCAATGACATGTACCTACCTAAAATGACTAACGACAGGGACTCTAAATGGCATTAAAAGGGGGGGGGGGGGGGTGAACGACATGTTATCTGGCGATGGCACGCGCGATACTGCTCAAGATTAAAACCTATAAGTATAATGATTTAAAGACATTAGCGTAAATAAAATGTGTTGATAAGTTTGCAAAGTTCTCCTTCGTTTTCCTTTCTACAAAAAAAAACCCACGCCGATGGCTACGTTCAGCGGCGTAGCGAGGGTGTTTGGCGCCCGGGGACAAGATTCGTGCCCGTGGACAAGATTCGCGCCCGGGGACAAGATCCATTTTAAAGCGCCCCTTTTTCATTTTTTTAACTCTCAAACCCATTATTTTCATCAATAAAATAATATCAAAGCGCATTTTGGCGCCCCTAACTACCTGGCGCCCGGGGATATCTGTCCCCTCTGCACCCCCCCTCGCTACGCCTCTGGCTACGTTTGTGTCCATAACCGACCTACTCAAACAGCAATTCTCTTGGTGTGCATGTAGGTGTGTAACGGCTGAGACGATGTGTTCAATTTGCGCACAAAATAAAATTCCAAGAAGTTAGCACCACTACTGTTTGGTGGGTTATTTCTAAGAACTGCTTTAAATTAATCGGGTGCACGTGTTCTTACGAAGTTCGGTGGTAAAATATCTTTTTAGCGTATCTGAGTTTATTTCAAATAATATTTGGAATAAATAATGTACGAAAACTCTTCATGAAATGTTCGATTAATTTTTTTTTATTCACTTACTTCTTACATTTGTTTACTTACTGCTTACATTCATTATTCACTTACTTTTTACATTTACTGTTTATCCTACTTCTCATATTCATATTCACTTACTTCTTACATTCATTTGTTCACTTAATTCTTACATTCATTTGATAAATTACTTCTAACATTCATTGGCTCACTTACTTCTAACATTCATTTTCACTTACTTCTTACATTAATTTGTTCACCTATTTCTTACATTCATTTGCTCACTTAGTTTTTACAAATTCTATAGAATTGTAGATATTGATAGTGATGTAAAGGTAATTTAATACAGTGTTATTAAAATATTTAAATTTGTGAAGTTGTAAAAATATAAATAAATAAAAATACCCATAAGTGCGAACTTCGACTTATTATCCGGAGTGACCAGTAAGATATTCATAATCGATAACTGTAAACCTTTAACAAGATTAGCTTTATATCTGCGGATCAATGATCATCAAATATATCGAGCGTAGCGATATTTCCTAGCTTCAATCTATTGTAATCGGTTAAAGGCAACAGATACCATTCTTTTTTAAACTCTTAAAAAATGACAATTTAGTCGTTCTTAATTTTTAAAATTTATAATCTTTATAGTGTTGTTACACATTGTGTTTCGGGGGGCACTTGACTCTCCCTAGGGGAGGGAGGCACTTCACCCTCCCCCCCTCCCGAGAGATGTCTGAAAGAAACCCTGCTCCCTTTTCTGTCTCCCTGAAAGGCTTTAGATACATGGTATTTGGGTTATTGTTTTTTTTTCATTAAATAGGTTGGAACATTTGTGTAATCTTGTTTTGTAATACGCATGGTTGATTTTCTTTACAATATCTCCTTATGTTTTGTGCTCAGATAAACCTTGCAGCCTGGACAGATTCCGTCTTCACCAGTCCCCCACCCCATCACCTTTGACAGTCACCATCTTCAACATCACATCATCCTCGCCAGTCCTCATCCCACCATCTTCGCCAGTACCCTTTTCAATGTCACACCATCTTCGCCTATGCCCATCTTCACCATCACACCATCTTCGCCAGTCCTCATCCAAACATCTTCGCCATTTCCCAACCCACAACCTTCGCCAGTACTCATCACACCATCTGCCCAAGTCCTTTTCCCAGCATCTTCGCCAGTCCTCATCTTCACCATCACACCATCGTTGACAATCACAATCACAACGTCTTCGCCAGACATCATCACACTATTCTTCGCCAGTCCCCATCAGACCATCTTCCCCAGTCTCTATCACAACATCTTCCCCAGTCCCATAACACCATCTTCCCCAGTCCCCATCGCACCATCTTCCCCAATCACCATCTTCCATAATCACCATCACATCATCTTCTCCAGTCCCATCACACCATCTTCCCCAGTCCCCATCAAATCATCTTCTCCAATCCCATCACACCATCTTCCCCAGTCCCCATTACACCATCTTCCCCAGTCCCCATCAAACCATCTTACACCAGTCCCCATCACACCATCTTATCCAGTCGCCATCACACCATCTTATCCAGTCCCTATTTTCACCAGTCACAATAACACCGCCATCACCAGTCCCAATTACACAATTGTGGCATACACCATCTTCTCCAGCTCCATAATTATCAGACCCCATTACACAGTCGTTGTCATTAACCATCACACTGCCTCAAGTAGTCACCATCACGCCGTCTCAACCAGTCACCATCACACTGTCTAAACCGGTCACCATCATACTGTCTAAGCCAGTCACCATCACACAGTCTAAATCAGTCACCATCACACTGTCTAAACCAGTCACCATCACACTGTCTAAACAAGTCACCATCACACTGTCTAAACCAAACACCATCACACTGTCTAAACCAGTCACCATCACACGTCTAAACCAGTCACGATTACACTGTCTAAACCAGTCACTATCACACGTCTAGACCAGTCATCATCACACGTCTAAACAAGTCACCATCACACGTCTAAACCAGTCACAATCACACTGTCTAAACTAGTCACCATCACACTGTCTAAACCAGTCACCATCACACTGTCTCAACCAGTCACCATCACACTGTCTCCACCAGTCATCATCATACTGTCTCGACCAGTCACCATCACACTGTCTCGACCAGTCACCATCACACTGTCTAAACCAGTCACTATCACACTGTCTAAACAAGTCATCATCACACTGTCTAAACCAGTCACCATCACACTGTCTAAACCAGTCATTATCACATTGTCTAAACCAGTCACCATCACACGTCTAAACCAGTCACCATCACACTGTCTCGACCAGTCATCATAACACTGTCTCCACCAGTCATCATCATACTGTCTCCACCAGTCACCATCACACTGTCTCGACCAGTCACCACCACACTGTCTAAACCAGTCACCATCATACTGTCTCGACCATTGACCAATCACACTGTCTCCACCAGTCACCATCACACTGTCTCGACCAGTCATACTCTCTTCACCATTTCCCATCACACTGTCTTTGCTGGTCCCCATTCTAACATCTTCACCAATCCCCATCTCACCATCTTCACTACAGAAGACAAGTACAAAGGAACGATTAAGTTCATAATCTCCCATGTTCAATACAACCCATTATTTTCAAGATGAACAACGCAATTAGATGTCTTGAATAGGGAGAAGATTTGTACTTTTCATAATGAGATTAATGATAAAATATTCAACATTCCTTCATAATCTAATAAGTGATAAGTAATGCTCATTGTGAAGATTTTTAAAATTCCTTTTAAACCCACTGCTCAATACTGTTAACTACTGTCTACGAACATATCGCTTCACCTTTCAGAAGCCTACACACGCACCCATATGTGCTTCCAGAATACGTAATCATTCATTATAAAAGATCAACAAATATTTTAATTATGTCTTTAAGATCAATATTTAATTTCCAAAACATTTGGTACAAGGGATAGTCATTTACATGAAATAATATCACAGTTTTTCCTTTTCAAAATACCATGAGCTTCATCCTTACAGAGGTAACTAGTCAAAGACAATGCTCTTTTTGTATGAAGACTGACAGTGGGGGAAATTATTTGAAAATATTAGAAAACTGAGTTTTCGACGAAAAGAAAAACGATATCAGAAACGTTAAAAATGTATATTTTAGTTTTCCTTTACTTTTAAGTTTATTCAGATTAAAGTTAAATTTTAAGGAAAACCAAAATTATGCTTGTATAAGTTATACAATTTCTGGTTTGTGAAACGTAGATCAGAAAGAGGAATTCTTTTTTTTTTTAAATGCTAATTTAGATGAAGAGGAGCAAAGAGCAATAAAAAAAATTTTTTCCTGTAAGTTGTGTGTACATAGTTCTAGCCAAATCTATATCATGTCATTACAAAAAACATTGTTATTAGATTATGGGTCCATGCAAGTGCATAATGATAGCCCTTAATAGTCATCTTTGCTTCTCTCACTTTCGTTTTGGAATATTATTTGAAGAAAAAAAACACACCAATGTTTCAAAATGAAACCAGAATGGAACAGGTGAGAAACAGACTGAAGCAGATTCAATGCCTCGAAACAGATTCAACGGCTTGAAACAGATGTAATGCCTTGAAATGGATTCAATGCCTTGAAACGGATTCAATGCCTTGAAATAGCGTCAATGCTTTACAGAGAAGAGAAAACTCCACTTTTTGGACAGATCATCAGAGCGGCCTGTGATTATAAAGGCATTACAAGAATTTCTCCCATATCGGCGTTAAGACACGAAATCATAGTTACAGTTAATTAAAATTCATATGATGAACTTGTGCAAATTAAAACTCAGAAAGTCAATAAAAGAAAAAAACAATCATGTGTTAAAATTGTCCTTGTTACAGCGTTAAAATCATAGGTTAAAACAGGCTGAGAACATTCATTTTGAGTGGTTTACCGATTTAAACATTGATAAAGAATTTAAACTATCACTGTCACCTATCCTCACAATTATTATTGCTCCAGACTCAAACAAATCTGAACTGCTCTGGGTACTGTGAGCTATCCCAACAAAAGAAAATGAGCATGGCATTGTTATGATTGCTTCGCAGACAATCAACACGCACATATTTGCATCGCCCCCTGGCATCTACAGACTATCAACGGAAATGTTACTCACTAGGCGCATGCACAGAATAGTAAATTATTCGTTAAACAAAAACAGGTGGGCAGATATCAAACATTCAAGCACATCAGATGACCTCAGAATAAATGAATCGCGGTTAAAATTCTGAAGTTCAACATTATGAAGTTATAACATTCTGAAGTTAGCATAACACATCATTTAAACAAAATAAAATTGCACACAGACTGAATATAGGTAAAGGGCTGGTCTGAGTATTACACATCTGTATACGTGAAACAGGTCAAAGTCATCTAATGGGGTCAAAAACAGAACTAGCAGGGCACGAAGCTAAGCCATTTCTTTGAATACCCAAGCGCACTTAATTTAAGGAACATTAAGAATGTGTTGATAAAACAACCTTGAGGAGGGCCAATGTGTTTTTAGCATCTGAGTTCTATGTCCTCGCTTAAAAGTTGACACGGCCAGGGTAAAGGAGCACCCAGCTTATTGAAAAGCATCAAATAATTTTTAAAGTATTTAATTATTTTGCAATTTACATCATTCAGTTTCTACAAAATTCTATTACATGAGAAATAAAACTATTTTACTAAATTAAAAAAAACAACAACTTAACTATGACCTGTGATGCACCCTCCTTGCCATGCCTCATTTTCTGTCTCGGGGTTGATCCTGTAGTATAGGCAAAAACGTGCCAAAGTGTACTCGTTTTATAGCCATTTTAATTGTTTCTATAGTATAGTAGTTACTATCCTAGTGTCTCTGGTTTTTCATTTTTATTTTACTTAGTTTACATGTTTTTTAAAAATTGTAAAGCGCTTAGAGCTTTAAGGTAAGCGCTATATAAAAATGCCTAAATAAATAAATATTCTGACATATGAACATGTGTTTGGTACAGAAGCTTGAAAAAAATTAAATTGAGGACTTGGTTGCGCTAACAATGCCTCAATCTCCCATTGAGAATGTGACTACCTCTCACCTTCTGATTGGTTATATCTGTTTATTGTGACTAGCCAATCAAAATGACTCTGAGGTATTATAAAACTATAAATTATCAACTGTCAAACAGATCAACAAATATGCAATATGCCATTCAAAAGGGGTTTAAAAAATACAAGAATTAAACAAATGGAACATTCCTCACTACCTTAATCACTGAGACGCCACATATGGAATAATAAAATCGCTACAACTTCAGAATGATCTTCTTCAGAAACTTAAACCTGATAAGACAACATGAAATAACAGACTTTCTCTTGAGGTCTAGTTACAACAGACTTTCCCTTGAGGTCTAGTTACAACAGACTTCTATTGAGACTTTCTATCATTTTCCACCCTTACCAAAAAATTGTCCAGCTCAAAATAGAAGAATATTTTTTTTTTAAATCAAGTTGTCAAGACATGTCTCCCCCAGACATGATATAATAAGTTTTAAAATGGACAATATTTTGAATAACATAATTACATACTAATAGGTTTAGTCCAGTGGAAAAACAGTGAAGTCACATCTCCCCCAGACATGAAATAATACGTTTTAAAATGGACAATATTTTGACTATCATTATTACAGACTTATACTTATAGGTCTAGTACTGTAGGATAAATATTATTATTACATACTTATAGGTCTGGTCCAGTGGGATAAAGATCATTATTACATACTTACATAGGTCTAGTCCTGTGAAAAAAAAAGTGAGTGTGTGCACCCTTTCACTTATTTGTTATGGACAAAATCCATGCACAAATAAAATAGCATGAAAAGACATGACATGTAAAACTGACAGCATCTTAGAGTAGTGACACTTTTTTTTTTAAACTCTTAACTTCTATAAGGCAATGATTGTGCTGTGAGGCTTTTTTTACTCCAGACTAGTGGGGAAAGTGCTATGTACAATATTAACAGCAGGACTGATAGCTCCAACTGCACTCTTAAGGCCAAAGCTTTCATTTCAAAGGCTCGTAAATTGATGCCTTCTGTTATGAGACTTTTAAAATAATCTACACCTGGAACCTATGAATCTTTCACAAGTCAAGAGCATTGACAAGACTGCCTTCATTTCCATGTTGCTTGTCTCATTGATATCACTTCTTCCCGCATCCCACTGTGCCTTGCATTCTTTCATTTTACTTTGGTCATAAAATTTGATTAATTATGATCATTGCTATGAGTTAAATTGTTCTACCGCTTCCTCAGTATTTATTTATATTTCCTAAGGTCTTAAACCACACTACCATTTACATATATACATAAAAACAAATTAAATGATATTTAAAGTTTTAACTGTATTTGATAATTTTAAAATTGAATTTTTTTTTTTTTAAAAGGTTAAAATCAACTCAACTCTTTAAAAAATTTAAAAAGAAAAAGTAATATTGAAATATTCTATTCTATGTAAAAAGTACCAGCAAAAAAAAAATATTAAAAAAAATAATACCTCAAGGTGTTACATGAAACAAAATAAACCATCTCAAATTATTTTATTCTATTTGATCATCCATTAATGCACTTTTATACATCAGGAGTTTGCATTGGGGGGGGGGGGGGCAGTGACAAATGCTAAACCCCTGTCCTTGTGCCGCCCGTAGCCCCGTGGGGGCGGGACCCCTTAAGGCCCCCCTGCTCAGCGAGACGATCAAAGAAAGAGCTGATCCCATTGCCCGAGGAATGTCGGATCATCTGTGACTGAACAGATGAGGCGTAGGCGGAGTGAAAGAGTTGGCTGACAGCATCCAGTCGCCGCCATCTCATGGTGGAAACATTGATATCAAAAGCTTCGTGGCATCTAATGAAAAAGTTGAAAGACAAATATGAACTTCTCTTTAACACAGACAGTAAGACAGCTTAATATTTTTTTGTAAAATTTTTTTTAAAAATCAGACTTTGAAGTTATTTCTTGAAGACATATGCAATGCATTAAAACATTAAAGTGAATTTAATTAAAACTTCCTACCTAAATATGGACTCAAAACCTTTTTGAAGTCGTGACCTAGTTTTTTTTTTGATGTAGCAAGGTTAGTTATGACTCTAATACATTTAAAAAGGGATTTTAATAGTGTTAAAAAATGTTTTAAAAAAAGGACTGATAATTTAACTCGTTGACAAGCTTCAAAATTCAGTGTTGGGTTTTTATTTTAGTTAATGCCAACCATAAGTTATTCTCAAGCAGTACAAATCCATTCTAATAGTGATATATAGCACCAGATAGGAGATATATGATACTAATCAAAATTTATGACACCATTTAAATATGCAAATTTCTTTAAAATCAATAAATTTTTTGGGTTACTGTTTCAACCAGCTACTTCCCAAAAAACCTTGGGCAACTCCATGGAAAAGGGGAGTGGGGGGGGGGGGGGGAGGGGCGCGATTGTGTTTGAGAACCCATGCTTTAAGTCAATGATGACAGTAGTTTTATTTTGATGCCATACATTATAATATTTGTGGTTGGAAAAAAATTCCTTGTTGGTCTTCAAATTTTTCTTTATTTTAAAATCTCCTTTACCAACTCTTTATAGTCTAAATGTGGCTTGAAATAAAATTGGCCAAAATGTTAGAGGCCCATTTCTAAGTGAATTGTGTTTTGAGAATCCATGGTTCAAATTTTTCTTTATTTTAAAATCTCCTTTACCAACTCTTATAGTCTAAATGTGACTTGAAATAAAATTGGCCAAAATGTTAGAGGCCCATTTCTAAGTAAATTGTGTTTTTCCAATTTTAAAAATTCAAAAAATGTATGGTTGCCATGACAGCATAAACTAATGCAACATAAATATATCCCCCTTTCATCCCTCAGTAGACCATTTCCCGGCACACTTACGAGCTTATGTGACTTGCCCTGTCGGTGCTGCTGTTACTGCGAGAGTGGCTGGAATCGCTGACAAGTCCTCTCAGGTTGTCGCTGCTGGATATGATCTGCCAGCTGCAGGGGATCAGACCAAATCAAACGGACGTAAAAATTTAAGTTTGGGAGAGGAAAAAAAGAAAACAGATTCTTGAATAACATGTGAACGAAATGATAGAAATCTTAAGAACAAGCTGACTAGTTTTTTCTAGTAAAATCTCTGACTTTAACATTAGGTGGTTAACAGCACCTGTAAGGTAACTGAAATTTTAATCTTAAGATATACATTTTATTACATTTTTTTTAAAGCCAAAAAATAAGTCAAGTTTCAACTTATTGAAACCTATTCTCTTTATTAAAATATGGTAACAAAAAAATGTGGATTTTCCTATGAAAATCAAAGCCTACATGTCAACAAATTTATAATCAATCCTAGAACACATTGGCTCCAACAGTTAACAAATATCAAAATAAAAGGGATACTCATTTTCTATATCTCAACTAAAGCACACAAAAATAAACCTTATCACCAGAACTCACAAACTAGAGTGATCTTTAAATTCTACCTGACCTCCTCCATCTGGAGGTATGTTTTACTTATGAATGGTCCCTAATTTATTTTTTCAATGACCTCTCTTTTTTATAATTATTCACACTTTTTTTTTTTACATTGATTTGGCTTCTAAAGAATAGTTGGAAATTAGCAAGTCAAAAACTTGTTACTTTTTTATGGAGACGTTATAGCTAAATTCTATCTGTAAGAATTTTAATGAATTAAGTTTGAGCGGTTTTATTTATCAAATAGGTATTACACTTATCCAAAACTACAACTTATGAACAGGTAAAATGAAAAGTTTGATATTTAAGATAATCATTGAATTAACTTTCATATCCAATCATAAAATTTTTTTGTAACGTTTCTAATGTATTTTTCATACCTTCCAATGCTGTTAGCTGAACTTATGTGCTCTATCCTCTGTGGCACCTGAACCGGGCTGGAGGAGCGGAGAGCGGGACTTCCAAAAAAATGGTTTGATTTGATTGAGAGCTGTTGGCTGTCTGAAGACAAACGTCTCTGCACAGCACTGACGGGTATACCGGAGGAATGTTGTGTAAGAGGTGACCCTGAACTTGATGGAGACTTGGAACGCCTGGGTGTCGAGCTGCCAGATATAAATATGATTTAAATGAAGAAATTTGTAAGTATACTTTAAAAAATTAGCAGTACCACAGTTTTCCTTGGCAAAATTTATTTATTTATTTTTTTGTTGCTTTTTTTTGTTGTTTAAATCTGACTTTTTCAATGATTAACTTTCATTGAGTATTTTTTTTCATGAAACAAACTAAAAATAGCTGAGAATGGAAAATAAACATTGTCATTGTTTTGTTGAATTGGATTGATGGTTGACAACATTTTTCTGAGCTCAGAATGTAACAAAATCTTTAACTTTAAAAAAAATGTGGAAATGTGTAAATAGAATGCTGCTTGGATAAATATAATAAAATCCTAGCACAATACAAGTCAGTAACAGACAATTTTTACTACTGACTATTCACACTTTCTCTTGTTTTAGTTCAAACCAGGTGTTCATACAAATATCAATTCAGATTTATGACATTGAACGATTGATGCATTAGATCTAAAATTATTATTTTCTTTTATAAAGCCTGTTTGAAACATTCTTTTTAAAATTTTCTTGAATATATGTTTATAACTTTTAAATGCATTTCAAAACAAATATTATGTAGATCATGTCATCCAACAGCTGTAGATAGAAACCCCCCTCCCCCCCCCACACACACAAACATTTTTTTTTTTAAATGAATGTTTCACTTTGTAAGTGTTGACGTCCTGTTCCACTGGAAGTCATCCTCTCCCTGACTAGACTCAAAATCATCCCCTTCCTCCTTGATCCCCAGCGTAAAATTGATCTGGTCAGATGTGTCTGTGCTGCTGACGCTGTTTAGGCTTGTGGTGCTGCCTTTGCTGGGGCACATGGCCACATCCTCTGGGGAAAGCATGTCACAACACAGATAAGATTCAAGTCCATATATGCATTTTTTTAAATATAAAATCGTAAGTTAAAAGTATGAAGTCACATAAAGAAATAATACAACCTTAAAGGAAGAAAACGATAATTCCAATGCCATAAATCTTTTTTTTTTTAAATCCATCAATTGGCAAAATAATTCCAACACTCAAACTACTTTTCTTTTTTAGTGTTCATTAATTTTATTTAAACATTCATTATCTATTTTTAACCTCCGGCTGTTTTGTTAATTTTAAATAACCATTCATTTATAAATATATATATTTTGGGACCAAAATATTGGGCTTGTGGAAAATGGTATTTTTATAACCATTATCTTAAATAAATGATTGTACCTAACAAGACGCCTGGAAAGCTACAGTCAGAATCCACTCTTTCATGTTGGGATCTCTTATGTATCAAAAAGGCATCTTGTGGGGAAGATGTTCTTGCTTGCTGAATCACGGAAACCCTACATGAGGAAATATACATTACATTTCATTAACTTAGTCTGCCAGCAAAACCAATTTTGTGGCGAGATCAGACTAAAAATTCAAAGCAAGTTGCTGTGATGGTGGTATTGTTCGTGAAAAAAATGATAACTTTCTTTGTTTTGTCAGCCAGATTTGCTGGAGTCTTCCACCTCAGGAGGTTGAAGTTTCTTACAAAAAGGTCTTTCTCCTCTACAATAATAGTTCACAAGGGTGGACTGGCATGTTCTTCCAACCCAGCAATCCTGGTCATAAAGATAGATGTGCAGCCACTGGGCTTAACTGGTAACAACAGAACTAGTGACAAACTAGAGAGTGTACAGGAATGGTTTTTTTTAGTGTTCTTCCATGACTTACCGTGGTAACACAGAGAACTCCTCAGAAGCAATATCTTTCAACACTTTGAAGCAGAAATATAAAACCTGGGACAAAAAGGGAGTGAGTGTGATAAAAATTCGAGTGGGTTTTATTCACATGGCTTTTAATGACTCCAAAAATGATTCTTAATCAAACTACCTGAAATTTTTTTGCTTGACCACAAGAGAAATACATTCTCACTAAATTATATATTTTGTACATTGGTCGAAGCAATATTACATAAATAATGGCATTAAAAATGGGGATTTCATTTAAACATGATGCTAATAGCCTATTATATGAAAAAACAATTTCTCACTTCTTGCTCATTGCTCAGTCTGTCAGGCAGATCATGTCTGTGGGGTAGAAGTTTTAAGACATATTTTACATTTCCAAGAATTTTTTAATGCGGTTTCATGCACATATTAAACTGTGAAACTGACATGCTATAAGTAAGACACCGTTAGCCACAAAGCCCACTCTATATAAAAGGAACAACTTACCCAAAGAGGTACCAGTCGTAGCCAAGGGTTAAGTACAACATTTCTGTGGGCGTCAGGGATTTGTGTATGACGCCATCAGCCCAAAGTGACAGTCTGAGTAGAGATATGAACAGGGGTGTTCTGTCCCAGCCTGATATACAATGCACCAGCAGCCCAGCAGTCCCTGTCAATCATTTATTAAAATAATGTTCAATCCCTAATCAAACGTTTGTTTTAATACAATATTTCCACATCACTGAATTCTTTTAAAAAGTGGGCGATTCCTACATAGAATCCAGAATGAACCAGCTGAATCTTGGAAACCAGATGAAAACAATGGTGAGAAGTTTGAGGCATAACATCATAACATTTCATACATTAATTTTTTTTTTTTAATTTTAACACATTCCTAAGTCTATCTCACCTTTTTTAACATACTGTAGAAGAAGTTTCAAATAATTTTGGGTCAGTTCAACTAGACTCCATTCCTGTCAACAGTTTTTAGCAAATTAACACAATGTAAGAAATTCTAAAAAAATTAACTTACACAATCAAATAAAATGCCCTCTAATTATTTAAAAATCGAATTACTTTTTTTTTCTACTCTTTTTTTTTTTTTTTCAGTTTAAAAATTTTTTAAATACCTTTTTCTTATTTAGTTGTTAAAACAATTGGCTGCTCCACATCTCTGCCGCCTGATCATTGCATATCTTTTATAGGTGTACTATCATTAAATATGTTTTTGCCAGTAATTTTTTCAAATAAAATGCCCTCTAATTATTTAAAAATCGAATTACTTTTTTTTTCTACTCTTTTTTTTTTTTTTTCAGTTTAAAAATTTTTTAAATACCTTTTACTTATTTAGTTGTTAAAACAATTGGCTGCTCCACATCTCTGCCGCCTGATCATTGCATATCTTTTATAGGTGTACTATCATTAAATATGTTTTTGCCAGTAATTTTGTCATTTTGTACACCATAACGTCTTTCAATTTTTGGGTCAATGTAAATTTTTTTAAATCTTAGAAAGAGATCATACATGCACAGTTTGTTTTTTTGTTTTTGTGTCAGCTTCTGCTAACTCTTTTGCTGCAGAGCCACGCAGTGTGCGTTCATCCGCCGTTCTCAAAAGCATGGACCAACACACTCTGAGGTGTTTCAAAATCATGTTTGTTTCTTTGTTATTTCTCGGTTAAACTTTTTAAGAGCTATTTTTAAATAAGACTTTTAAATAGAAGAGTGGTACTTCATTTTTTATAAGCAAAACCAAGGTGTGTTCGTTGTCATTTGAAGAATTATTTTAATGATTTTTTTACGCTATTTTTTCTGCTGCTGCTATGGCTACTCTAGGCCCTAGAAGGTGAGTAAGTTTCCTAGACGATTAACAGCTCAAAAAGCTTTGGAAATGTTTTATACTATTTCTTTTGATAGGGAAGATGATTTATATTTATATCCATCACATGATTCCAACAGAAGTAGTTTTAGAGGATTTGAGTTATAAAAGTGAAGATGATGTATGCCTACTTCATAGGGTTTGGGGGAAAATGGATTAGCATATAATGTTTTCACATTTTATGGATCTTTTCTGTTACTTATTTTATTTAAAGTGAATAAATAAGTTTACAAAAATATAGTCCTTTCAATTATCTTTCATTTGATACCAAATTTAGTCTTATAAAATCAAAAAAAAAAAAATTGTAAATATTATTTAATAAACCACACCCCTCTCTCTTTTTTGCTATTCGAAAAAAAAATGTACATTTTTTTCGATAAAAAAATTCAGAAGCGAAAGAGCTAAGTTGGTCAATTGCGTGTACTGACTAATGAAACTAACAGTGTGTAAACTGGCGATAAAGGAACCAGCACATGTTTGTAATCACTCACTGTGTATTTGGACCATGCAATACCAAGGTCATCAACAAAAGGGGAAGATGGCAGGTCTAGGGATGAGTCATTTAAAGCCTGAAGTAAAAATAAAGGACAGATAAACATGAAACTAATACATGCAGAAGGTTAGAGATATTCTTAAATTAGAAGGGGAATGAATATATTCTACAATATTATAGAGATTAAAACTATGATACTACTAACATATGCAATGCATAAATTTACTATATTTTTACTATATAGCCTTTTGAAATTATACCTGACCCCAGTCATACATTATTGTCTCTCCTATGTAAGAGTTATCTTTCCAATCTTTAAAAAATTCACACCCTGAAAATAAAATATACAGAAACTATAAATATGCAATGCCAAAAATATGTAGCAGCATCACTTATAAGCTACATTTAAAAGATTCAAGAGGATTATTGCTTATTTAAATTTACATAACTATATTCCTAGCATCAATTATCTACTTTGTCCTTAAATTCTAGTAAAATAAAATATGAGTGACAAAATTACCAGGATATGGCATCCCAAGGATGGAGAAGTCGGAATATCTATTTTCCTTGTCTACTTTTTCAGAGGAAGAAACACTGTCAGAAAAATTAAACATGTTAAGGACATTTAGTTAATACTAAGCTTCATTTATGTTTTACATCATTTCGTGCCTTCATCCATTCAGAATGACAAAGACTTACGGCATTCCGAATTTTGTTTTCTTCTTCTCGACCATGAGATCACAGATGTAACCAACATCAAAGAACTTCAGCAGCTGTATGTCGTGACCCCGAAACTTATCAAACATATCAGATCTCCTGAAAAAGTGAAGGGCGCGATATCTTGAATGCACAGGAAAATGAACATAGATTCTTAACAGCTTCATCTATCTACCCAGCTCTGCTCAACATTATGCTTTAACCAGATAGAGTTTTGGTTTAAGCCTCAAGTAAAAGAAAGCTGGAATAGTGAACCTGACTAATCAATTTTTATACATTCCTTGGGCAGCATTTACTACAACAGTCTTATGCTAAGAAGACCAATGGAAGAATAACATTTTATTAGACAAAAATAACAATGTGAGCTCCTAAAAAATAAAAAAAAAAGTACCAATATTTTTACTCAGAGTCAGAGGATTCAAAATCAGTGAGTCCTTAACAAGAGAATTTGCTCTTAATTACCTTTATAATTATTATTTTCCTCACTTAAAGGAAAAATGAGTAGAATTAATTGTATTTGAAAACGAAATTAAAGAATATAATAATAAAAAAGCAAAACCTACCCAGCATCCTCGCCAGTAGAGTTTTGACCTGTCATGACATAAAGGAATAATTAGGCCTACTCGAAATTTATTAGAATGGTAAAAGACATTTTAAAATCTTAATTATATTTGCCGTTTTTTTTTTCAAAATATAAACCATGTCAATTAGAAAAACAGAAACGTTTACATAATAAAAAGCAAAAAAAATCTTACTCGAAAGAAGGTAATCTGTGGTGGACCTTCCAAACATCTCTGCAGCTCCGGACAAAGTTGCTGACCGGCATATATGCTGAAAATCAGTAATAAAACAATTAACAATAACAGCTCAGTAAATCAATAGCAGATTTAAATTTAGTAATCATAAACCATATTTTATATCTTAATTTTTTTTTTTCATTAAATTTAGCACCATGTAAAATACAGATCATTTAAAATGTCAGGTATGGTTAAAGAAATTTCTTACTTTCCCTTGAAAAAAAATTACTGGTACAACAAACCGGGACCGACACCGTGCACACCTTGCATTTTTCATTTTCTGTATGATTTGTTGTGAACTATATTTGCTTTCAACACTGAAACAGATATTTATGGTAAGTTTTTTGGCATTATACTTGAGATTGGTATCTTCAGTCTTATGGCTTAGCAAATTTAAAGTAAGAATAGCATTTTTTTTAATTGTATGTTTTTTTTTATACACATCGCCTTTGTGACCCACTAAAACTTTAAACGCTTTTTTGACCTATAGGTAACATGAAACAGATTTGAAAGTCAATGCAGTTTTTATATATTTTAATAAAAGTCATTTACTAAAAAATTTGAAGAAATCAAACAGAAACCTGTTCAATAATTTATTAATGATGAGTGATGCCGTTGATTTTTAAAAAAAATATAAACTTCAGATCCAAAGAAAAAGATGATATATTCTTAAATCCAATTTAATACGTTATCATGTGCCTCAAAAGTCTTGATCAAATGCTAGTTACTGCAATTTTAGTAAAAAAAATAATAAAAACCACCAAAAAAAAAAAACTTGCTAAATTTTCCAGAATTTTTTTTTTCCCACTTTGTATTTTTGCTTTCGGGGCGCAATACTGAGTAATGACCTAGCATTTGGGAAATGCTGCTATATAGGACCCCAATACATGATAAGATGGTTGTAAGTATTAATAACTCTGCATATTTAAAATCTTTTCATGAAATATACTTAATTGTTTAAATATACTCACTTTTCAGCATTAGACTGAGAGTCCCTTTCAAATTCTATTATCACTAGTTTCATTGGGTAGTGTCCACACAGCTCACCATTGAGATTAGGCACTATCTAAATATAAACATATTAAAATTATTTTATTAATAGAATAGTTAAAAAATATAATTTTTCTTGTTAAATGAATGATTTCTGAAGGATTTACCAAATTTAACTTTAGTTCATAACAAAACTGAAAGATTTCAAGAGCAAATTTTAATCAGGTCAATATTCATATTATATGAATTATGAGGACAACTAAGAAATATCAAAAGTGAAAGCAACAAGGTTTTTGTAGTATTTGAATTAATTATACACTCTCAACCTGAGTCAGTCTGAGTGTTTTAGCCACTGTAAATGATTTTTAATATAGGCCTAAGTACATTTTAGTTTTAAGTTAGACTAACCGTGAATTTGTAGTCTTTAGAAAATAACAGGATGCATCTTTCCATTATTGTTTCTCCCTGAAAAATTCATTTAAAAACAATATTAATATGTTTATGTTAGATAAATATTGCCTTAACTTATCATTTTTTTTAAAGCTGAAAACTGAGAATCCATTGGACAGGGTTTTCATTTGGGTAGGTTAGCGGGCATTTGGGTGTGACAACTCTTGTCAAAACCCCACATACAAAATTTATTCATCATTTTATTTTATTCAAAATCATATTTATATTGCAAAAACATTAATGTTTAAATTAAATATTTATAATATAAATAAATAGTTAATATTTAAGTTTCATCCCAAGTTATTCTCAAGTTGCGAGTTAATTGTTAAAATGAGTAGAAATAAATATTAAATTAAATTAGTATTAGATTAAAACCTTGATATCAGCTGTTTTAACTCTATGGCTGGTCTTGACAAAATGATTTAGGAGTTTCGAAATGTCTTCCTCTTCAATAACGTAAGACATCGTTTCACCCTCCATTTCTCCACTACTGTCCTCGCTCATCATTCGCACGTGTACAGACGTTTCATATTGTTATTGTTTTTGTTGTGTAAAATGTTAAGTAAACAAATAGATCGTTCTGTTGGTGTGGCAGCTTCCTGGAAAAAAACAGTTCACTGCCCTTGCTGCAAAAGCATAACTGATTTAGTAAAACAAATATATCAGAAATTTAATACTTTTTTATTACATATTAAAAAGATAAAATAAACTTTTTAAAATTCAAATTTAGATTAAAAATAATTTATTTACTAATAGACAGGAGTTTTAATGTTATATATATTTAATTATATTTGTTGTTTATATCCGATGCTAATTTTTAATAGAAAAGCTCTGGCACTGTCTTATCTGACTTATCATACTAATTCTATTAAAGTAATTTAAAGTATGGTAAGATAAGCATCACATGGTTTGTTTGTTTACATTTTAAATGATGTTTGGCATACACATGAACGTGAACAGTTCCACTCACTTAAAACGATAATTTTTAATGTGTTTTACTAAGTCTAAGTATCTCAAGACTCAAGTGGGTAGCCATCGAGTGCTTCAGTGTGCTTCAACAATGTCTGGAAACATAATCATAATAAATACAATAATTCAATAATAGTATTAAATAATTAAAAATAGGATTAATTTACCACCCCAGCCCCCTTTTACGTTTACCCTCAGGTTAAGTGACAACCTGTTTTCTTATTCCCCCCCCCCACACCCCTTTTACTCTCAAGCTAAATGACAACCAGGTCCAGGTTTCGTAACATTAATCCTCCCCATTATGCTTGACCAAGCAACCAGTTTAGTTTTAACCTGGGCCTGGTTACATAGAGTAACTTCCCCTCAAGGGGTCGCAAAACCGGTCCCTTTCACAAAAAGCAATGTCCATATCTCCCGCACTATTTGTCCGGCGACCATGTCACATTACCGCCAGAAGAATACTTTATCGAGATATTCGTCCGGCCACCTAGTCACATGACCACCATAATAAAGTGGCCCCAGATAATGTCTGTCAGTTTTGTCATGTGACCGCGAATGATTCAAAGCTATTATTAATTAATTTTAAAATCTATTTCTCTACCATGTAATGTACTGAGTATCTTGCAAACAAATAATAGAACCAAATACTTGGGTGTAATATTACCAAAACAAAGTGGGGGTTAAGCAATAATGCATTCTAGAAGGAAGCAATGCTAAGAGGGAGAGAGAATTATGGCAATGAAAATAATAATACTAAAAAAATAATAGTAAGGTTGATAAATAATTAAGTTTAAGGCAGGGAGGCAGATAGTTCACAAAGAAATAGACCCTACATCTTAATATAGGGCCGATATAGTGGTAGCCTAGCCTACTTCTCATGCAATACTAAATAGGCCTACTAATCCCGAAAATACAACTTTATTGACATAGGTTTATTGGAGTCTACTGGTCATATTTTATTTTGTTCATATTTTAAATTTAGGCATCAAGGTAGAGCTTTACAAGATGTATTAACCAAGACAAGGGACTTTTTTCTTTGAAGAGTGGGAATGAAATAGACTAGTAATAGTAGTAGTAATAGTACTACTAGTTAGTAATTGGGCCAGCTAGTTTAATATTCAAAGTGAAACTCTTTATGTATCTCAGAGCATTTGTATATATTAACATGTTCAGCATTTATTTATTATCAAGGGATCGGAATATCAAATGCAATGCAACTATTTTGATGGCGACCACTTGTCACATGACCTGCCGGAATAATAACGCCTACCAGTCGTCCGGCGGTCACGTGACATGCCCACCGGACGTATATATTCCGCACTATTTGTCCGGCGCGCCGTACGTCTCAGTATTTTCAATATTTTCTATAATTTGTGTAGTTTTAATCTTTGGTCAAATTCAAATAATGAGATGGTAAAAATGACAACATGTCTGATGTTTGATCACTTAATTTTGAGTACAAATGGTACCAAAGGTAACCGTTGCACATATCCAAGTACTTGGTTGCGGCAACGTAGTCTATCAGAATCAGAGATGATGAGAACTTCCGCTCAGACTCCACAATACCAAACTGATGTCTTTGTTTCCGATAGTTTCATATGCCTTTCAAATTTTGGTTTATTTTATTCATTGTCCCCTATTTCTTTCTATCAACATGAAATGAGATTAAATCATGAACAAAAATTTATTTATTAAATCTATTTGGTTTGACGTGTACAACTTTTAAAAAATTTTTTATTTTTTAATTTTCATGTAAATGTTTAGCTAAGTTTGGTACAGACAAAATGGGGCATTCAGTCATGTAAATGTTTGGCTAGGTACGATACAAACAAGCTGGGACATTCAGCCTGGGGCAAAACAGCTCGTAAATCAATTATGAGTTGAATGTGAATTATTAATATTGTTATCACAAAATAGTAGTAATATACTTTTTCTATGTTTTAAACTAGGGGTGTGCCGGACCCCGGTCCGGAATCCGGTTCCGCCGGATTTTGCACTATCCGGTGAAATCCGGTTCCGCCGGATTTACATGTATCCGGAACAACCGGATTCCGGAATCCGGAATATACCGGATTTCGGAATTTGCCAGATTTTGTGACTCACCGGATCATAATCTGAAATAAAAGTAATTCTCTTTCCCGAATTTCACACGATCACGATACATTAATCGATTGTTTCGAGCGTTGAGCTTGTTTAATGTTTAATATTCCGTACATACCAGAGGCTAGAGTCAGCACCGCTAATAGTGGCCAATAGTGTAGGGACTTTGATAAGAAAATTTAAACTTTTTGTAAAAATAAACCAATGGCATAGTTGAAAAGATGTAATTTTTTAAAGAATTATAACACCAAAATCATATTTTTAGCTGTTGTAGTTTTAAAGTTATGAATTTTTAAAGTACGACTTGGTTTGTCATTTTTTAACATGGACTGCATCTCCACATTCTGTGATCTCATTCCACCAATCCCGTCATGCGCAATGACTATATAGTTTATATAAGGCAACGCATTCCCTGCCTTATCACTAAAATACTGTTTAGACTTAGTTTAAACTTTCAACTTTGGCACATGAATAATTAATTAAAGCTTTCCCTGACCAATGGTTTAATAGTTTTTGCACACGGCAAACTCTTATGAATGAAACTCTGAGGTAGTACTACGATACAGTTATGCAAGTGGCTGTGAATGGTTGCCAATGACAACGTGTTGCACACGGTAAATTCTGATCATTTATAATATGGATTCTACCGGGTTGTTAAAGCTCAAATTAAAACATTCCAGTTTAAATGTCTTTAAATGCATTCTGAAACACAAGTTATCAATTATTTTGATGTAAATAGTGATAATAAATTAATATTTCCTAAGTATCGTCAACTTCCGCCATTAAAAAGGGGGGCGTGGCCAACCCCATGGCGAAATTAGGTTGAGCGAGCTGCATAACCTGCTGCGAACGCGTAGAAACATGGCGTCTCTCGTAAGACACTTATCCAAATGGAACGGAACTCAAATATATATCGAAAGTACTAATTTAATAATAAATAGACACACACATCGGAAAATTAAAAACTCGGATTTTTTGGCGCCGATTGCGAATTCCCATACACAAAAAGTAGTAGTCCACCTTGACTTACCGAAGTATCTACCAATAGTACCAAAATCCGGAATCCGGGAGAAACCGGAATCCGGATCCGGCGGATTTCGCATAAGAAAATCCGGATCCGGATCCGGTTGGAAAAAACGGATCCGGCACACCCCTATTTTAAACTTAAGGTATTTGATTATCAAAATACGGATTTACTCATAATTTTAAATATGTAGATACTTTGGCATAATGAAAGGAAATCAAGCAATCAAACATTTTTGTTATTAAAAGTTTACGCCATGATTCGAATGCAGCATGTTATTATTTCCATATAATTCATCCTACAAACAAATTGTTAATGTAAGTCAACATTCTATCTTCATTCCATTATACCAATAATTTATTTGTTAATAATACAAAAACATTTACTTTCCAATCCTGTACTGTCACGTCATGACTCACGTCTACATTTACACACTACACACGCACTATGTAAAAACAAAACTAATCACAACACCGTAATAGTTGACAAATAAACAGTACACAGATTGAGCCCGCCAGTCAGCTGTCTTTGAACTTGATACACGTGGAGTTAGGGGTATGCACTTTACACACCACATAAATTATTGCTATTTCTTGCTTAAACTATGACACAGAAACTAAGAAAAGCGATAAATATTTTTTGAAAATGAAATCCTGGGATTATCGTAAATCCCGGTTTTCATAAATACAATCCCGTTTTTTTCGAGCATCGATTATGATTCGGTATTCCAGTATTTTCAATAGTTGGGATCCCAGATTGCGACCCCTATCCCCCACCCCTCCCCTTTGTTTTTTTTTTTTTTTTTTTTTTTTTTTAGAGTTTTCATTAACGCATTCCTTCCTTTTCCTTTTTTTTTTTTTTTTTTATTAAATGTGTTTGGTTATAAATTTTATTTTTTTTTTTTTTGTTTTTTTTTTCAGAGTTTTTATGTTCGCATTTCTTTCTTTTCCTTTTTTTTTTTTTTTTATAAGTAAACGTGTTGAGCTATAAAGCTTAATTTTTTTTTTTTAATATTAATGTTCAACTATCTGTTGGGCTATGTTTCTAGGATTATTTCTCTATGACTGTGTTATGCGCCTGATTTATATCAATAGTTTATTGTATGCCATTCTCATCATTGTTGAATTTCTCCTGATTATGATCATATAAACTTCAAATTATTAATTTTTTTTTTTTAAACGGACATCCTTGGCCCTCTGAATTGTATCTCTGTTATGTTCTTTGGGACTATTACGGACAAATCCTTTTATGGACACCCTAAAGTTCTTTCGGACTGTTACAGGCTAATCCTATTACAGACATCCTAAAGTTCTTTCGTACTACTACAGACAAATCCTATTACGGACATCCTAAAGTTCTTGCGGACTATAACGGCCAAATCCTTTTATGGACATCCTAAAGTTCTCGCGGACTATTCAGGGCAAATCCTTTTACGGACATCCTAAAGTTCTTATGGACTAATACGGACAAACCCTTTTACGGACATCCTAAAGTTCTCCTGGACTATAATGACAAATTGTT